CCCAATAATGCATCTTGTCACGGCGACATCTCTTCGGCATCTTTCCGTCAATGTCACCCCCTTCCACCCCCCACTCACCAGGTGATAGAAGGCCTACGGCAGAAGGCCATGGACGAACGCCTGCGTGGTATGGACGGTATCGATCGAAGAGTCAGGTAAGTACATCCGCTGTTGTAGCTCATATTGCTCGTTTACGCATTCATTTTCCCGACTAAACTGGCGTCTCTTCATCGGTCAGCCGGCCGGTCAGTCGTGGCCGATCGGTGCGAGTTTACAAGACCCACGAACGCAAGCGGCGATCGTACCCGCACCGTTGACTTCGGGAAGGTTTCTTGACTCGCCCCTCGAATCCGACCCCCTTCTATCGAACCTCGTAAACGACGGTTCGATTATCTAAATAGNCATCGATCGAAGAGTCAGGTAAGTACATCCGCTGTTGTAGCTCTCATATTGCTCGTTTACGCATTCATTTTCCCGACTAAACTGGCGTCTCTTCATCGGTCAGCCGGCCGGTCAGTCGTGGCCGATCGGTGCGAGTTTACAAGACCCACGAACGCAAGCGGCGATCGTACCCGCACCGTTGACTTCGGGAAGGTTTCTTGACTCGCCCCTCGAATCCGACCCCCTTCTATCGAACCTCGTAAACGACGGTTCGATTATCTAAATAGGTAGACTGTTCGACTTTTTTGTTCCGTCCTGGCACCTACTCGTCACGCTGTCGCGTGGCTTGCGTGTGCTCTCACACCCAACACCCCTTGGCCACCGGAAGAGATCTCTTGACCGCTCCCCGTTCTAATGACCCTCGTGTGTGTGACTGCCCGGCATCTCTCTTTCCATCCAGGCAACTCATCACGCTGCGCGTGGCGTGCGTGTGCCCCCACACCGACACGACTCCATCCCCGAACAAGAGCCGCAAAGGTGATGGAGCACCATCAGCGGCGGCGGCGGCAGGGGGGATTGCGGCGTCTTCAACCCCGGCGCCGCGGGGTCGGCGGGGGAGGGCAAGGGCGCGGGGCCCCGGTGGCGGCGAGGAGTTCGTTGGTCGGCGGAGCGGCCTACCGCCGATTTTGGCCGTGGTGAAGGTCTGGGCTCCGAACGAAGCGACGGCTGGCCTGCTCCTGGAGGGGGCGGTGCTTAGACTGCACAGGTGAGGAGGGGGAGGGGGAAGGGGGAGCAGGAGGAGGAAGAGGAGGAGGAAGAGGAGAAGAACACAAAGAGAGGTTTCTCTCTCTCGGCGCCGCTGCTTGTGTTGCGTGGTGTGTTCTGTGCACCCAATCGTGCCTTGGGATCTTGGGTGTCCAAGGCGTTGCCTGATGCGTGGCGGCATGGCGTAAGGGTTGTGACATGGCATCGGAATTAGCACAGACATGAGCGGTGCCAACGTGCTACTTGAACACATCGCGTGGGCCGACGCCCCCATCAAACTACCGTGTTCCACGTGGAGCTGCCGATTTTTCTCCCTTCTTGTCTGTGGCGCTTGTCCGCCACTGCCGCCCTCCTCCTATCTTCCCTGTTCAGCGTCCGCTTGGTTGTGAAGAAACGATTATGGTGACTCTTTTGGCGTGTTGCAACGCATGCCACCCGTGGGTGCCCCAACAACAACTGGTGTCGGAATGGCGCTCCGTATTCCGTCCTCCATCAGACAGCTAGTTTTTTTGCCATGTTGTTGGTGTTGGCTCCCTCGAAACCCTCCCCTTTTCGACTGGCGTTTCCCTGCCCCGGTCGTAGTTCGACCTTTTCTCCCTGTTTGCGTTCTCCCGTAACCCCCACTAGGCTTACACTACCAGATTGCTTTCCCTGTTGCGCGGGGGGTATTTTGGACCCGCGTACCTTTTATATTTCGATACTTACGTCACTCTGTTCTTCGTTCGTCGCTGTTTTGTTCGATTTTCCTTTGTGGAATTCATCGTTTCTTTTCCGCGCAACACGAAAAACAACAGCGTCACGGCTTCCGTGTGCCGACACCGCGTCCCGGGATGCTCCCTGGAGCTCTCTGCGGGCCGGCAGACAAAGATAGAGGTCATCGGCACCACCGCCACCGGCGGCGGCGGCGGCGTCCTCGCTAGGCCACCGGCCGGCGAGGGCGGACACGACCTGGGCGGCGAACGGACGCCCTTTTTCACTCCGCGGTTCCTCCCTCGCCGATACACGCCTCTCTCGGCGTTGGTCCCGCCGCCGCTGCGCGGGTCTCGACGGATGGGGAAAGGCGACGGGGGTTGTTGGCACGGTTACCTTAGCGGAAGCCGTGGCGGTAGCGGTAGCGATAACGCTGGTTTTCGCCATGTACACGGCGGGGAGGAGGAGGAGGAGGAGGANAACACGAAAAACAACAGCGTCACGGCTTCCGTGTGCCGACACCGCGTCCCGGGATGCTCCCTGGAGCTCTCTGCGGGCCGGCAGACAAAGATAGAGGTCATCGGCACCACCGCCACCGGCGGCGGCGGCGGCGTCCTCGCTAGGCCACCGGCCGGCGAGGGCGGACACGACCTGGGCGGCGAACGGACGCCCTTTTTCACTCCGCGGTTCCTCCCTCGCCGATACACGCCTCTCTCGGCGTTGGTCCCGCCGCCGCTGCGCGGGTCTCGACGGATGGGGAAAGGCGATGGGGGTTGTTGGCACGGTCACCTTAGCGGAGGAAGCCGTGGCGGTAGCGGTAGCGATAACGCTGGTTTTCGCCATGTACACGGCGGGGAGGAGGAGGAGGAGGAGGAAGAGGAGGAGGAGGAGGAGGAGGAGCGGGGACGATTGACGGTGCCGCCTTTCGCCGCGGGCGGTGGCAGGGGCAAGGCCGGGGATGGGTCGGCGGCCGGTGGTGGTGATGGTGATGCGGAGGTCGACGTCGTCGGGTGCGTGTTCGCGGTGACCGTGGAGCGCTCCCCCTTGGCCGCGACCCCGGGCTCTGGGGAGGCATTCGCCACGGTAGAATCGATCACGCACGCCGCCGACTCAGCTTGCGGGGGGGGCAGCGGCGGCGGCGGCGGCGGCGGCGGCGGCTTCCGGGACGAATCGGGCAACGAAAGAAACTCCTCAACTACCGCTCAGGCCGACGACGAGCGCGTTACTTACAGGGTGTACATGACCGAGCCGTCGGGGTCGTGTGCCGTCCTGACGAAGCGGGTCCGGCCGGAGCTCGCGCGCCACCACCGTATCCTTCGCAGCGCGCCGGGCGCCTGCTGGGCGATCGTGAATGCCGGCAGACACAACGGCGGCGGCGGCGACGCCGCCGCCGGTGGGGATTGGCATCCTTCAGCGCCGGGAGGGCTCCCGGCGGTCCGCGACAGTGGCCTTGGCGCGCTCTCGTGGTCATCACTGACGGCGGCGGGCGGGAACGGGAACGCCCCGCCCCCGCGGTCAGTCGGAGGCGCGCCGGCCAGGCACTTGGGGCGGCCGCTGCTGGCGGCGCGGCGGTGGGCCGAGGGCGACGAGGGCCGGAACGCGGTCCGGCGTGAGCGGCAGCGGCTTGATCTCTTGCAGGCGAGGGAGCGGCGGCGGCTTCTTGCTGTTACCCCCCCGTCGATGGTAGCAGACGCCGGAGGCCAACCGCCAGGGGCTCCTGCCGCTGCTTCCGCTGCTGCTACCGCCGGCGATGCCGGTGCAAGTCTCTCTGGTCGTGCTGAGGCACTTGAGGCTGCAGACCCGACGACCGATGCCGCTGCCCCGACGGCGGTGGCGTGCCAGACGACGCCAGGATCCCCCTGTCGAGAGCGGGCCCTGATGCTCAAGAGACGGATCGACGAAGCCGTGATCGGGTTCGTGTCGTCTTTCGCGGTTCTGCCCGGTTTTCCGTCATCGGTGGTTGCGGCCGGAACACGGCCGGGAAATGGCGGCGTTGTCTGCGGCAGTGGCGGCGGTGGCGGCGTCGGCGATACATCCATGCCTGGCGGCCTCGATCCCGGGTGTCTCTGGATGGGTATCGACACGGGAGGCGGTTTGGCTGCGGCCGTCCTTCCCCAGGCCTCCCTCAAGGATCTCTTGGACTTAGCCCTCGGCGCGGGCAATGGCGGCCTGAGTTTGAGGCCGGCTGCCCGGGGTCCCGAAGAGCCGGGCACCGGTGGCAACGCGGAAACGACTGGAACTTTCTCCGAAGACATCGCTCGTGCCTTCCTTGACCGCGCCGCCGCCGCCGCCGCCTCCCTCGGCCACGACGACGAGGCGTGTAGGCGAGAAGGTGGTGGCCGCGGTCAGATGCGGGCGGCGGGGTCGGCGGATTTGACCGTAGGTGAGGGTGCGCCGACTGCGCGGCTCACTGCGGCGGCTCAGCTCGCTGCCGGGCAACAGCCGCAGCGACCGGCTCCACCGGTCGAATCCACGAGCCCCCCGCCGGTGAGCAATTCCGCCGACGCGATCGCCCCCACCGACGGCGGCATCCGTTCGAGAGGGGGGGAGGTAGTAGCGTCGATGGAGGCGGTGTTGCCGGGCGTTTTGACGAAGGCAGGGCCAAGCGGGCGTCAAGGTGAAAGTCAGCGACAACCCCCGCACACAACCGTCGTATCTTCTNATCGAGAGGGGGGGAGGTAGTAGCGTCGATGGAGGCGGTGTTGCTGGGCGTTTTGACGACGAAGGCAGGGCCAAGCGGGTGTCAAGGTGAAAGTCAGCGACAACCCCCGCACACAACCGTCGTATCTTCTGATGGTGAGGCAGCGATCATCGACGCGCTAGCGTCCGCTCTGTGTCGAATGACGCGTCCAAGTCGTCGGCAAGGCCTGGGATGCTCGGGTTCAGCGGGCGGTGGTCCCTCCGTTCGCCGGAAAGTGTCGCCGGCGGCCACGATTGAGGGTGACGTCACGGCGCCCCCCCATGTCGCGGCAGGCCTGGCCGAAAGCCCTCGAACCAGTGCAGCGGCCAGCGACGTCAAGCCAAGTGCTGATTGTTGCACGGTCGCAGGTCCGACGACAGAGGATGGTTCGGGGATCAACCCCGGTTCGCGCGGTTTCAGCAACGTGAAAGTCGCTGGTGCAGGGGGCGTTACGTCCGCAGCTCCGTCCGTTGCTGCGGGGGACGGCGGCGGCGGAGGCGGTGGCTGCAGACGCGGCGCCGGCGGCGGTGATGCAACGGGAGCCATCCTGGACGATTTGGCTTCCGCTTGCGGCCGGAAGCAGCTCTCTTTCTCGGTCTCTCGTTTTTTTTGGCGAGGTTTGGGCCGAGACGTCGCGGTGGTCGACGGGGTGGGCTCCGTGGACGTGACTCGGTCGGCCGAGGCTCTTCTGAACGATCTCGGCGGTGCCGGTGCCGGCGCCTCTCCTCGAACTTCGCGACCGGCGGGTTCCGGGTGGAAGATGCAAGGGGCAGATTGTGTATGACGGAGGGGCGACTGCACGTGCGCGGATTCGAGCGCGTTTGTTCTTGCTCTGTTGGGGAAGGGGTGGAGAGCAGGAAGGCAATCAGAAGTGCTTCTGCTCGGTCTGATGCATAGCCCGGCACCAATGGCACTCGGTCTGTTGACGCTGCATCCTGTTTTCGTTCATGGTCAACAGGTTGAGTCATTTTGTGGGTGGAATGGACTATATCCAGGGGGGCGTGGGCGCGGCGTGGAGTCTTCGGGTACTATCGTCGACAGAAGTGAAATGTGGCGGTTTCATCGTATGGTGATGGGTGGCGTAGGCGGGTTGCNGCGGGTTCCGGGTGGAAGATGCAAGGGGCAGATTGTGTATGACGGAGGGGCGACTGCACGTGCGCGGATTCGAGCGCGTTGGTTCTTGCTCTGTTGGGGAAGGGGCGGAGAGCAGGAAGGCAATCAGAAGTGCTTCTGCTCGGTCTGGTGGATAGCCCGGCACCAATGGCACTCGGTCTGTTGACGCTGCATCCTGTTTTCGTTCATGGTCAACAGGTTGAGTCATTTTGTGGGTGGAATGGACTATATCCAGGGGGGCGTGGGCGCGGCGTGGAGTCTTCGGGTACTATCGTCGACAGAAGTGAAATGTGGCGGTTTCATCGTATGGTGATGGGTGGCGTAGGCGGGTTGCTTTCGATCTGACGTGTGAACCGAGATCCTCCTACAGGACAACTCTTTCAATGTTTTCATGCGTACCCGACAAACGATGGGTAGAGTTCTTAAATATGAAAAACACCTGCAGCCAAGGTGCGCGCATGGCATTGCAAATTCGTGGAGTATCGAAGCGACGAAGACGATTTACTCGGTGGCCTCTTGTTGGATGTGATTCTTGCCTAATCGCGCGTCATTCAGGCGTGCCCTACATCGGGCAGCTATGGGTCGGCGCCAACCCTGCATGTCTGGATGTGAACTGGCCATTGAGAAATTGCCCACGCTCGATCCCCGATTATGTCGAACCGAGAATCCGCCTTGAAGCGGGTTGCAGCAAAAAGGAAATGTTCTTCTATGACGCCGAATCCCTCACATTTATGTCTGGACGTTTATACGTTCCACAATTTGTGACCGAACTCGTCGCTGTGGAGGGAGTTTTTCTGAGGAGGCTTCGGGTGATTCTCGTTGTGGAATCGACAGCCTACAGGAAGTAAGCGCACCTTGCATGACGTTCGCATCACCACGGCGAGTTAGGGCTTACAGTGTCGTTGAACTTTCGCGTTTTTGCTCTTGCTTGTTTTTGTCCCGACCTCTGATTGACACGTGCTACTGTGAGACCTCTGAACTATGCAATACATGTAGTCCAACTTGGACCGTGCACACATGCATTACTTCATTCCCTCGATTTTCCATCGTCGCTATCTGCCCACCAACACGTCCATACTGGTCCTTTCTCTACATGCACACACAAAACGTAGGGGCCACGTTACTTCGTGGCAGGACCAGCTCTAACTGCGCACCGCAATGAATGCTAACAACAATCGTTGGCTGTCATTGCAACCTGCAAAGATGGTCCCCCTTACATCTTGCTCCGCGCCCCCCGTCAAACCAGGCCGACTGAAACCAATATCTGAAGCACTCCGAAGTCTGAGACAACCACTCTGTACATCTAGTTACCACGCGTTCGGTCAGGAACGCAAATGAAGCCATTAGAGGAAATCCCACCCATTCACTGCAACTTGGTCGTCTCAACATGCGAAGCGAAGCTGTGTTCGCGGTCTTCCTCGTTCGTGGTGTAGATTCTCGAGCGCCGCCACTCAGGGTTCCACCATAAAGATTACCTGGATCAATATCACAATCAAATCCGGCATCACGTGTGTGTGGAGGCGATGGGGGCGGGGAGGTTGAAGAAGATCGGGAAAAGGCTGTGGACAGTGGAGGGCCCCCTCTTCGGCAATAGTTTGGGAAGCCAACTCCAATACTACGAGTTTTTGTACGATTAGTCTCCTGCGATAACGCAAAACACCGCGTACAGGATGACCATGGGCAAAAATTGACGTATGCTCCACTTTTTCTTGCAGGCGCCGAACAGTCTACATACAGGTACGCAAGAAGTTGAACCGCCCAGTAGAAGCCACCCCTCTCTACGACACACCATTGAAGACTGGATACTCGAAGTGGCGCATTGGTTGATTTTCGCTCGTGCCCTAGACTTGCAGTGTTGGATAAACTTCATTGATGTATGCTGCGATCGCTGCCAAGACACCACGGCGCGACAAACGACATGGTCTTGATACCCCCATTTGATACCTCGAGAAGGCTGATCCACTCGTCCGTGTCGAGACCGAGGGACTCGAGCGTGACGGTGTGCACGTCGTACGCAATGACGTCGAAATAGCTCGTGACAGATCCAGGGTGCGAGTCGAACTCCCCGAACTTTTCGCCGTTGATTTTAACCTGTTCATCATTGGCAAACGTGCGAACCAGACTCGAATCGTCGACAACTCGTCGGGCAGGCTGTTCAATGGCGCTACGGCGTTTGGCAGCGTGCCCCACGGTGAGGTTGTAAGAGTTCGATATCTCGTGAGTATTAGTCTACTAATGAAAGAAGAACGGTGGCAACGAGTGCTGTTCGGCTCCGCATCATTTTCACCCCGCCGACCATTGTTCGCAATTGCCAAAGCGCTTCGGTTCGGGCGATGATGGCGAGCAAGATGTTAGCAATGGAGACTAGACTGCCTCGACGTCGAAAATACGCCGAAAACAATAATCGCACCAAACTACACGACACTATCGTAGGTTTATTGCATCTTTGCCCCCTCTGGATACGACTGTCTGATTACGCGTTTTTTGCAATGCATGCCAGGCTCTTGCTTATAAATGCATGCTCACGTTCATTTCTCTGTAGCCGCCGACTTAGTACATATTACGAAGGGGCAACCCATGCGCCGCCGGTGCGTTCACACAGCGTTTCATTCGGCTCAAGCGCTACCGTGTATCCCAAGATGTACTGCAACAAGTAAAATTGCGTGAAATGCATTCTTAACATCTCACCTTGAGAGTGCGGGTGCGCTCCTCACCCTTCCAGAAGTCGACCTGCAACTGCTTAAGGTTCTGCGGGTGGGAGAAAGTGAACTCGATCTCGCACTGGCCACCGTCAGGGACGATGTCCTCGGCGCATGACCACCTGGACTCGACGTCGTCGGTGATGCCGTCGGTGGCCAACACGGGCAGGCACCCGTATTTGCCGCATCCGTGATCACCACTGGCCTGTCCCGGGCGTTCGTCGAAGCCGGTGGCGCTTGCGGCAATGGCTGTGATGGTTGCGGCGTTCACCAACTCGTGGTCCATGTCTGCGCAGTCGCAGGAAAATTATGTTCAATTCTGCTAGGGCTGGGCTTACATGCCGAAGTATGTGGAGGGAGGACAGAGGAGACATATGGTGGCAGAAAGGGATATTTGTGCGTTTGCTCTCGATAGCAAGAATACGATGGAGGCGTGCGGGAACTGTACACAACGTACACAGTGTGAATTGGAACACAAATCAACGGTGCACAATGATAACCAATCGATCCATTTGCATGATACACCGTCTATAAGCTTTATCGCGAAAAGGTCATGAGGTCGGGTGACTAGACTATGACGGGGGGAACCGTGTCTTCTCTTGACCATACTCCGAGGTGTTCACTGCGATCTTTTTCCCTGCATGTCCACACGTAGATCTCCCTGGACTCCGTATTACGGAGTTCCCAATCCGCACTCACAGGAAGACAACAGTTCGTGTAGTGACTCTCTAGGCTCCGCACGGTGAACTTACCTCCACACAAGTAGTGGCAGGAGTCTTCGACGATGGTGCACACCTCCTTGTAATTGTGGCACAGAGCTCTCATGGACTGGAGCCCGTCGTTGCCGAGGATGGATCGGTCAACCATGGTGCAGAATTCGGGCAGCCCAGAGTAACACGTAGCGGTAATCGCCTCTGTGCATTCGGTGCAAAAATTTGCTTCGGACGAAGAGAAGTCGTAGTCGTCATGCGGTTCCGGTCGCCCCTTGCCATGTTTCCTGCTCTCCGATGGCTTTTTGCTGAATGTGATAGAATTGTCGTCTTGTACCATGCGGTCGAAGTACAGCTCGGCGCCGGCCTTGAAATACTGAACGTGCCCATCCGCGCTCAGCCTGTAGCTTGAGCCAGTGAGGTACTCGTCCGCGAAGAACACCCGGTAGGGAGTGGTCCGCCCGTCGTCGAAGAGGCTAAGCTTGAACGTATACCCTCCAGCTGGTATTTCAATCTTCTTTTGAGCAGCTTGAGCGACCGTCGCTAGAGAGGACAGTTGTCCCAGAAGCACGCCTACGGTTGTGGTGTGAAGCTTCATGGTGATACCGGAGCTACAGTAGTGATCGGTTTCAGGCCTGGGCTTTTGATCTGAGCTGCAGCACATGAGGGCCAACACGGAACGGAAGTTTCGGTATCAACACATGAAAAGTTAATGATAATCTCCCTTCGCCGTGACCACGCTTGGCTTCGATCGGCGGTTGTTGTAAAGCCCAGAAAAGAAAAGGCAATTCGCGCCAAGTGAACGACGCTGGTGTCCACAAACGTTTTTTGTATCTATTTCTAGATCAAGCGCAGCAAGTGCGACCAGCGAAAATCTGTTACTGTCTAGACTTCACATATATTTGATTCACCCAAATGAAAAAAATGAGTATATTTTCAGAAACCGCCGGTCGGAGTAGTAGGTATCGCCTATGCTCTAGACTAAACATCCACGCGAGACGATTCGTCAAACCCGCTACAACACTGTAGTCTATATAGTAGGCCGTGCCATCAGTTACCCTGAAAATAGAGGTGCGAATAGATTCTGATCGATCTTTCATGTTCCTGTTGGATATTGTCTATGGTGAAGGCGGGTATGAACACATGCGCGAATAGGGTAAGATCGAGGGGCAACACCAACAAGGGTTGGGGGACTACCTGTCGCTTTGACAAGCCACAGACGGTGGCGACTTGTGTTCAATATTACAAAGAGGAAGCCGTAGAGGGGGTAACCTCCACTATTCGACAAGTCGAATAAGCTTCCACGGAAATCGAAGACTAACTCCCATGGAAGTGTACCTCCCTTCCATGGAAGTCACTGTCATATCCATGGAAGCCAATTTGTTAGACTTCTCACCTGGAAAATAGATGGCTTCCATGGAGGAAGTCAACTTGACTTCCATGGAATACGTTCGTTTGTTTCGGGTTCCAGCTTCCATGATGTTCCCATGGAAGCTGTACATAACATCTATGGAATTTATCCCCTCCCATAGAAAGACCCGAAATCACCCGCTCGTTGCTTCCATGGAAGTCGTATTTCGGACTTCCATGGAAGCGCGACGAGTTTACGTGGAAGCAATACTTCCATCGAAGCTCGTAGCTCGACATATTCTTTACTACCTCTTTGGAAGTGCGAGGACTTCCATGAAAGCACCTTCCATTAAAGGAAGTGGGTTACAGAGGTCGAAACCATCTTCCGTAGAAACACCGAAACTTCCATAAAAGCAACTTCCACGGAAGCGTCTGGACAACATGTAGTCACCCCCGTTTCCCTACCCTAATCCAACCCAAAGCAACCTCCACGGAAGCGCCTGGAAATGTGGTCATTCCAGTTCCCAAACCCTAACCCTGAAAGTACCATGGAAGCTGACCCTAGGCTGAATACTCCCTTCCATAAAAGCTGCCCTAAACCAATTTTTGATAGCTTCCATGAGATTGCCACGGGACTTCCGTGGAAATTCACTTCCTTTGAAGTGGCACATCCACATTTCATATCTTTACTTCCGTGGAAGTGAATATCTCTTGAATGGAAGTATCGTTCTGCGGTTCCGGGGAAGTACAAAACGTGTAGCATCCATGGAAGTGGTATTAGCGTCAATCGAAGTAGATTAAACTTTCATGGAAGCTGATGTATACTTTCATGGCAACGGTACATATTCATCCAATAGTGTGGGTAGCGGGTAGAATCCGATGCGTACGTAGGTTCACATGTATTGCGTGTTATCACAGTGTTGGCGTAGTCTCGTGATCGCAGTGCGCTGGGTGCGGTATACAACAGGCGTGACGGTTGTGTAAGGCGCACTACCACGAGCGATATTCGATGGCCGTGCAACTTTGAACTTCCAAATGATCGATGCACTACATACGCGAAGGCAACCACCGCGTGAGTGTGGTTTAGTCTTCTTCGCTCTACTACGCACAACAGTTTGTTGACTCTCTCGAGAATCAATGGATGGTTTCGCCTCGAGGTTAGACGGCATTCCGCTTGATCCGTCGCTTTCCGGGTTTGTTTTCTATCTGGGTATTGTGTGCTTTTATGCGCGATACAATATTGCGTGGCCTCGAAAGCACCAACATACGAAATATTTTCATATAGATACGCAACATGCTTACCATCATCACATATTTCCCACATTGGCACGACTTCAGATCCGTACCAACGTTTTCAGACAAATGTGTGTACATGGTGATCATTGCGGTACACGCATACATCATCTCTTACTCTGGCCGTGATATTCAGAAACAATGAGATCGCCAACACCATGAGTGAGTCTGGTAAAGAGGTTGAAGGTTCGATTTTCATAAATATCTATGAGAGGAACCGTGGCCAAACTCCATGTCACATACATACTCCGTATTTCATGGTTGGTTGTCCCCAAATACCAAAGCAACAGCGGGGTTCCATGAATTTGGAGTTCTCTCGACCATTTCCCTGAAATCGGAGCGAGCGGCGTTATTAACGACTCGCCGACACGTGTGCGTTTCTATCGCGACGATTCTCGCGGAAGGCTGCACGAAGAACAGTGTTCGTTGTACCTTGACCAAAGAAATTTGCAGCAGATAGATGGATGGGCGGCCATACCCGACCTGTGAATGGGGAAAGACAAGCATCGATACATTATACACCCACGTATTTTATTCGTGAAGAGGTCGTGCAGTCAAACTCTCCCGTTGTGGGCGTAGTATCTTCATGCACATGCATGCTATTCGTCGTTCATTAGAATGCGGAGTTGTCCTACAGTATATAGGACCACGGGTACAACCAACCGCGGACACAGCTTAATGATGTCGCTGTTATGACGTAAAATATTTGTGACCTGCCGACGCGAAAACAGTGCCACTCTCGTCTTGCGCCTAATTGAGCGAGTACATGCTATGGGGATCTGATCTGAGCTGTGAAGGACACGAAGGGAACATGGAACTTCCCTGTCGCTACACATCCAACAGATCACATTCACGCAGTGAGTTGCTCTCATCTTCGCTATTGTGCAATAGTGACCAGATTTTCAACCGCGAGTTGGTCCAATATTATAATAGAAATCGTACGGTTTCGCCGAGAGGACACGACGTGATTTTCCACTCATCATTGCGAGACCAACGCGACCGATAAAAGTCTGTGTCGATGCGGTTACCCAAAACAACATATTCGCCTGATTGAGAGCGTAGCATCTGATTGAGAGCGAGATTGCGCGATACGCTGTNTGAGTTGGTCCAATATAATAGAAATCGTACGGTTTCGCCGAGAGGACACGACGTGATTTTCCANGTGAGTTGCTCTCATCTTCGCTATTGTGCAATAGTGACCAGATTTTCAACCGTGAGTTGGTCCAATATAATAGAAATCGTACGGTTTCGCCGAGAGGACACGACGTGATTTTCCACTCATCATGGCGAGACCAACGCGACCGATAAAAGTCTGTGTCGATGCGGTTACCCAACCGAATATANCACGCGAAAACAGTGCCACTCTCATCTTGCGCCTAATTGAGCGAGTACATGCTCTGGGGATCTGATCTGAGCTGTGTAAGACACGAAGGAAACATGGAACTTCCCTGTCGCTACACATCCAACAGATCACATTCACGCAGTGAGTTGCTCTCATCTTCGCTATTGTGCAATAGTGACCAGATTTTCAACCGCGAGTTGGTCCAATATTATAATAGAAATCGTACGGTTTCGCCGAGAGGACACGACGTGATTTTCCACTCATCATTGCGAGACCAACGCGACCGATAAAAGTCTGTGTCGATGCGGTTACCCAACCGAATATAATGGGGTACGTATAGGCAGGTAGGTGTAGTCTGTGGAGCCTTAGCGCCTGTGGGATAGACGACGCTACAGCGTGGGAAAAATGTACTGTACTGCTGCNCGAGTTGGTCCAATATTATAATAGAAATCGTACGGTTTCGCCGAGAGGACACGACGTGATTTTCCANAATGAATGCGCCTTTTCGGTACGAGCCGAGAAATAATCTACGATGGCAGCAACCCGTCTTTATCAATTGAGGCAATACTTCATTCCTTANCCGAATACAATGGGGTACGTATAGGCAGGTAGGTGTAGTCTGTGGAGCCTTAGCACCTGTGGGATAGACGACGCTACAGCGTGGGAAAAATGTACTGTACTGCTGNACCAACCGCGGACACAGCTTAATGATGTCGCTGTTATGACGTAAAATATTTGTGACCTGCCGACGCGAAAACAGTGCCACTCTCGTCTTGCGCCTAATTGAGCGAGTACATGCTATGGGGATCTGATCTGAGCTGTGAAGGACACGAAGGGAACATGGAACTTCCCTGTCGCTACACATCCAACAGATCACATTCACGCAGTGAGTTGCTCTCATCTTCGCTATTGTGCAATAGTGACCAGATTTTCAACCGTGAGTTGGTCCAATATAATAGAAATCGTACGGTTTCGCCGAGAGGACACGACGTGATTTTCCACTCATCATGGCGAGACCAACGCGACCGATAAAAGTCTGTGTCGATGCGGTTACCCAACCGAATATAATGGGGTACGTATAGGCAGGTAGGTGTAGTCTGTGGAGCCTTAGCGCCTGTGGGATAGACGACGCTACAGCGTGGGAAAAATGTACTGTACTGCTGCAGTACGTTAGTACAGTGCAGTAGGGTGCCTTGCACACTGGTAGAGACCACCGCTCTTAGTGGGCTTCAGTACATCAGACTAGAGAAAACAATGTGGATGCTGGCAATAAGTGAACCCGGACTTCATATCCCACAGGGCTTCGTTCCGGCCTCGTACATGCGAAAGATCAATAATTGCAATACCCTAGTCAGGCAAAAGGACTAGATAAACCAATAATGAATGCGCCTTTTCGGTACGAGCCGAGAAATAATCGACGATGGCAGCAACCCGTCTTTATCAATTGAGGCAATACTTCATTCCTTATTGATCTCAATTATTCGTTCCGGTGCAGTTAAAGAGGGTAGGAGCACGTGAGCTATGAGGTGGTCTAGGGCCAATACACAACATAATTGGTTGAAACCTTGGCATTGATACACGTTTGTGGGGTAAAAGCTGCGTTCACTTGACCAGACAGAGTGAAAGTTGTAGCGGAAAGGTGGGCCTCGTCAACGCAACCATGTACACATTGTTCTGTAGCAGGTCCATCAACGAACGTGCGTAGATTCTCGCAAAAAATTGTCAAATGTGTTACATGGACAGCTTGTTGTCGAAGCCCGAATAAACTGTACCAAGTTTATTGTGCACGGAAGAATTCGGAACATCTCCCAGATTTACGTTTGTATTTGGGTTCTTGTTGTGCCGCCCTGGAGGCGTGTCTGTTGGGTTGTCTTTGGTTTTCTGGGGTCTTACAAAGAGAAAGGTCTCACGGAGTTCTCATTCTGCTGCCTCGCTGCTCCTGCAGCAAGAGTTTGATAGACGCGTGTCAACCGGACCAAGGGCCACGTGTTGAGGAATGCACAGTGTATTTGTATCGAGGGTGTTTCTCGACATTCTCGACACAAAGGTAACCCATGCTTGGCGGATACTTACTTCTGTACGTNTTGTCTTTGGTTTTCTGGGGTCTTACAAAGAGAAAGGTCTCACGGAGTTCTCATTNCTGTCTTTGGTTTTCTGGGGTCTTACAAAGAGAACGGTCTCACGGAGTTCTCATTCTGCTGCCTCGCTGCTCCTGCAGCAAGAGTTTGATAGACGCGTGTCAACCGGACCAAGGGCCACGCGTTGAGGAATGCACAGTGTATTTGTATCGAGGGTGTTTCTTGACATTCTCGACACAAAGGTAACCCATGCTTGGCGGATACTTACTTCTGTACGTGCATGTTTGCATCGCCAGTTCGAAGTACGGGCTATAGCGCGCCGCGATTTTTACGGATTCGACGTTCTGGGTGACCACGCAATGCATGACCTCTACCGTACACGACACAAGATAACACACCCCCTGGACCGATTTTCAAGCTTGGTTTATCAACAGCAGAAAGAGTCGCGGCGCCGAAAATGGTGGCGTTGAAGGCGTCTGGTGCAGAGCTCTCCCAAAACGTATCGTTTCGCTTTTGCATCCTCTTCGTNCGCATGCTTGCATCGCCAGTTCGAAGTACGGGCTAAAACGCGCCGCGATTTTTACGGATTCGACGTTCTGGATGACCACGCAATGCATGACCTCTACCGTACACGACACAAGATAACACACCCCCTGGACCGATTTTCAAGCTTGGTTTATCAACAGCAGAAAGAGTCGCGGCGCCGAAAATGGTGGCGTTGAAGGCGTCTCGTGCAGAGCTCTCCCAAAACGTATCGTTTCGCTTTTGCATCCTCTTCGTCGTGGAGTAATCGAGCTTTGAAAATCGCTCCAGGGGGTTTGTTGTATTCTGTCGTATACGGTACCACACTCCCAAAACCAGCAGAAGTGTGCATCATATAGAAAGTATCCCATGTTGGTTGCCCTCCTAATCTTTGAGGAGCAAAGGTTGCGAGACAAGATGTTTTCTCGAGTGTGACACGTTCTGTGTGTTTCGAGCGAGCGGCTTGACTCGAACTACTGCTTGTCGTGCCATTCGCGCCGAAGGTGAAGCCATGATAATTACAATGCTCTTCAATATACATACATACATACCTTTCCGATGAAAGTTCTAGCGGGCAGATGGACGGGCGCGGACATATCTGACCTTGATGAAGAAAGTCAATCACCATACAAGCACGTTTTGTATTCTTTGAGAAGTCTTGGAGTCAAACTCTCTCGTTGTGGACGTAGCATCTTCAAGCGCATGCAGAACGCGGACAGTTGTCCTATTAATACACTACGGTACTTTCTTTTTTTTTTGTCTCCCATCATTGGACTCAGTCGTCTGCCCCTCTGGCCCCTATCCTCCATATCTACCAGCTAGACGACCTAATCGGGGTCATATAGGAGGGGGGGGTTGGACCCCCTCCTGCGGTTTCTACCTGAGATATTTTTATCGCGAGAAGGGTATAGTAGTCCCTTCCTTCGCGACTTACGAAGTCGATCAAGTTTACAAACAACTAGCTTTGCAGCGCGTCGCTTCCANTGGACAGTTGTCCTACACTACGGTACTTTCTTTTTTTTTGTCTCCCATCATTGGACTCAGTCGTCAGCCCCTCTGGCCCCTATCCTCCACTTCTACCAGCTAGACGACCTAATCGGGGTCATATAGGANGATGAAAGTTCTAGCGGGCAGATGGACGGGCGCGGACATATCTGACCTTGATGAAGAAAGTCAATCACCATACAAGCACGTTTTGTATTCTTTGAGAAGTCTTGGAGTCAAACTCTCTCGTTGTGGACGTAGCATCTTCAAGCGCATGCAGAACGCGGACAGTTGTCCTATTAATACACTACGGTACTTTCTTTTTTTTTTGTCTCCCATCATTGGACTCAGTCGTCTGCCCCTCTGGCCCCTATCCTCCATATCTACCAGCTAGACGACCTAATCGGGGTCATATAGGAGGGGGGGGTTGGACCCCCTCCTGCGGTTTCTACCTGAGATATTTTTATCGCGAGAAGGGTATAGTAGTCCCTTCCTTCGCGACTTACGAAGTCGATCAAGTTTACAAACAACTAGCTTTGCAGCGCGTCGCTTCCAACGGAGACCAGGATACAAAAACGGGAGAAAAACTCACGTACTTTTGTATTTTTTTCTCCCATCATTGGACTCTGTCGTCTGCCCCGCTGGCCCCTATCCTCCACTTCTATCAGCTAGACGACCCAACCGGGGTCACATAGGAGGGGGGGGTTGGACCCCCTCCTGTGGTTCATGCCTGGGGTATTTTTATCGCGAGAAGGGTACAGCAATCCCTTCCCTGGCGACTTACGAAGTCGATCATGGTTTACTAACAACGAGCTTTGCAGCGCGTCGCTTTCATCATTGACCAGATATATTTAGTGAGAAAACAACTCACTCTGCCAGGACGTACTGTAGGAGCACGGCTACCACCAACCACGGACAGCTCCATGATNATATATTTAGTGAGAAAACAACTCACTCTGCCGGGACGTACTGTAGGAGCACGGCTACCACCAACCACGGACAGCTCCATGATGTCGCTGTTATTGTAAGAAATCCGTGGCCTGGGCATCTGATCTGAGCTGTGCAGGACAGGAGGAGGAAACACGGAATTTCTCCGTGTCGCTACACATGCAACAGATCACATTCATTCACGCAGTGAATTGCTCTACGCTTCACTATTATTGTATGATAAAAAATATATATATTGTATGTATGTAGTGACTACATTCAATCGTGAGTTGGTTGAATAAAATATTTTCCAATCGTATTGTTCCGCCGAGAGGACATGACACCATTATCTTCCACTTTAGATCGCATATTATGAGACCAGGTGAACCAAGAGCGACGACAATCTGTCTTTACGGTCACCCGAACGAGTAGAACGGGTGCGTTTCGTAGGTAGATGTAGTCTGCGGAGCCCTAGCGCCTGTGATACAGACGATGCTACAGCAGTATGTTGAAAAAGTGTGCTAGTAAATGTGCGATGCACACTGTCAGCGACCACCGGTCTTCGTGTGGTCTACTCCATACAACAGATCACTGGGACTTGTGGAGATCGCGAAAGAGTGAACCTGGACGCCGTAGCACGCAGGACTTGGTTCCGGCCTGATACTTGGGAGAGATCGATCATTGCGATGCCCTCAACCATGAAAAAGAACTAGGTAAACCAATGTGCCTTTCCGGTAAGAGCCTGGCGATAGTCTACGGTGGTGCTCGCACGTCCCTGTCGATTGAGGCAAGAATTATTTCAAGATGGACGTACTGTAGATTCCTGATTTGATCTCATTTATTCGTCCGGGTGCATTGAAACAGGGCAGGAACACGTGAGCTATGGGGTGAGGTCGGGGACCACCACAAAGGATAATCGAGGGTGAACACCTACCTGTGAATTGATCCACGTTTGTGGGATAACCAGTAGTTACGTCCACTTGATGACCAGAGTGAACGTTGTAGCGGATGGATGGACAACCAAGTCGCGTAGGTTAGGGCAAAAAGCTTGTCAGCTGTATTGTAGCTTCTCAACGAGAACACATTGATTGCTTCTCACCTCGATGTTGGACGGTATTCCGATGGGCCGATCGCTTTCCGGAGTGGTGGGGGAAGTGGTGGTTGTGTGGCTTTGTGCGTGAGAGGGTGTGGGGGAGAATGGCATCGCAAAAAAATGAACGCGCTTGCTTCTCATCAACATGCTCAATCATCATCAATCCCTTCCAGGAGAGACGGTCCGCACCTCCAACAGCAACAACAGTTAACCCCACCACTGCTGCTGTACTCCGTGCACCCCAAAACCAGTAGAGACGNACCTCCAACAGCAACAACAGTCAACCCCACCACTGCTGCTGTACTCCGTGCACCCCAAAACCAGTAGAGACGTATTCAATATTCAATACGTACTTATATATTTGCAAATATCCCGTGTTGTTGGTTCTCCTCTGATCACGATGCACGATTTGCAAGGCAAATTCTCAAGCAAGTGTGACACGTTCTTCTGTGTATTTCGAGCGAGCGGCTTGACCCGAACTAAGCTGTTTTTTGTCGCGATCCATTCGCACCGATATAGCCATAGACTCACATACATTATTTTTCATTGACCTTGCCCAGGAAAGTTGTAGCGGGCAGACGGATGGGCAGTCACAATCATATACATATCCGACCTCGACGAAGAATGTCAATCACCATGAGACAAACACGTTGTTTTGGTTTCGAAGTTCTTTCTTGCGATCAAACTCTAGTCGAGTAGTCTATGCTACAAGTGCAATAGTACGTACAGAGAAGTTCAGACATGATCCGAACAGCCGCACGCAGACGGGTGCGGATGCGTTGTGTGTACCGCCATCTATCATGTACATCCACAACAGTCTAACTGTACATAACTGCACTTGCTATTGCACTTGCCACAAGCCTGTGCTTCTGCTGTACCCTATTTTTTCCATTTTTTCAGAGAGTTGACGTGCGGCGGAACTTCATGGAAACCCTGCTAGGCGCAGGCCGACGGCTGATCCATCTGCTATCGATTGCTCAAGGGTAATCCGCGCCACCCTGTCTCTGTCCGCTACAACCTACATAGCTATGCCTCACGCAATTCCAATTTAGTCTACTCCCTCACGCAACTACAAAGAAGTACATTCCACACGAAAGCTTCCTGCCTGGGGGCCCGTGAAAATAATCTGGTGTTTTCGTTCTTTTTTGTTTCTTTCTCACCCATCATTGGACTCTGCCGTCCTTCCCTTCTACTGGCTAGACGACCCAACCGGGGTCACATAGGAGGGGGGGGTTGGACCCCCTCCTGTGGTTCATGCCTGGGGTATTTTTAATAGCGAGAAGGGTACAGCCATCCCTTCCCTCGCGATTTACGAAGTCGACTATGGTTTACTGACAAACGAGCTTTGCAGCGCGTCGCTTTCATCATCGACCAGGATTTATTTAGTGAGAAAAACAACTCTCCCTGCCGGGACTCGGTGTGTGCAAGAGCAGTAACCAGAAACGGGTATACCCGGGTGGAATATCACCATTACAGGGTACACTTGGAAATCAACACGACACCAGTCTGCGATAGCATCCGCTGTCGGTCGCGGCGAAACCAATAAACCGCTGTCTGTGTCCTGTGTGTTCTGTGCCTCGGAAGCATGATGCACGAGGCAGGTCGTGCTCGTTTTTCTCTCTCTCGGTGCCTCTCTCGCTGTGCCGCTCTCTCTCCCTCTGTGCTTTTACTGATAAGTACCACCGAACTCGTGTTGTGGAGGAACAAGGAAATAAAAGAGAAGGGAGCAGGTTCGCTGCTCCTTGCTGGTTCACTCACAGTTGTTGTTGGATTTCATGTGTTATCCTCTTCATACCTAGCCCGCGTTCCGCGCTCACAAGTCGAGAGTGAGGACGGGGGCTACAATCTAAGTCACACCAACCAACGAAGATACAAAATATCCATGTCATGATCTCATGATCATACAACGCTCATAACCTAGTTGCTCCATTACATTAGCCCACCCTGGAAGTGATATATGCAGATACTCTATCCTCAACCATACTCAGATTTAGATGGAGATCGAAGATGCGACTTTCCATATAAAAAAATAAATATATAAAATCAACTAAATAGAGAAAATAGTTATCCCCGACAAGTACTTCACGCCATCAAACCTTCCCCACACTACTCATCATGTGATGACTACTGAGAATCACAATGCAGACGACAAGGTTCCAGCGGGGACTGATCGCGGCGGGTCCGGTCGTAGCAAATATGGAAACGACACCGCCTATTTCGGCGCTAAAATACACCAGCGCACCACTCAAACACGCGCCAGCGTAACATAGCGTACCATGAACGAAACAAAGCGCCAAATATCAGTAGAGAGGGAAACAAACGCCATGATTTGAAGGTGGCAAAGCAAATAAAGCGTAAAAAATATATGGAATCGTCCCGAGAATCACCGACTTGAAACAACAGACAGGCGTCGAACGTCGCCTAAGGTCCGGCCCATCGTTTCCCATCAGAAAACAGCGGCTAGCAGAGAAGTTTGCTCGCCAGTCGCTCTTCGCCTTCGTCTTGCACGTCCTCAGCTTCGGTCACGTCAACCGCGAAAATGCGGATGTTCCTGCCATTCGCAAAATGTTCGCGCACTCGGACGAGGAGTTCGGAGAAGAGAGCAGGAAGGCAAGTACAAGACCGGCAACGGCCTAACAGAAATCGGCGCTCACTGAATACCCGGCCCATTAGGGAGGGTCAGAGTGAGCGTAGGCCATCGATACGTTTGCTTGGAAGTCTTACGTGCGGGCTCGGCAAATTACACATTGCCGAGTCCACCAACGGACGGACACATGCATACCAATCCACCAGGAAAGAACGCTCCAACATACGTGAAGTCCGAGCGGTGTCCAGGTGGAAAGACGTGGTATAGCGTGGCATGCTCGCAGAACCCAAGGCCGCAACAACATGGGCACGTATTCCGCGGAGTCTTGGAATATGTTTCAGGCAAGACCGTCGGGTAACCCAAACATCGAAAATATATATGCCGCCACACACTCGTTCTCCGACAGCTGTTAGTTCTCGAACATAGCCTTCGAGTGAAACGAATATATGGGCAGCCGCAGTGGTATCAACGGTGGACGAGAGACAGACGTCCGGCTCCTCAGAAGGGAGAGCCGGGGGAAGTCTAACGACCACTGGTCCACTAAGACTGAACTATTGTCCGGGACCACAAAGGAAGACGCAATATTCCGCCCGACCAACCTTGGGGGGCGGACACAGACGTCAGCATCGCCATGTTGGGTCCATAACGACGGAAACACCGTAATACACACTCCTTGGCGTGGATGAGCCCACCCAAGCCAATGCTCTGCATCAAGAAGAATGGTTCCATAGCTCCGTGGAAGCGGTAAGCCCGCCCAAGCCGATGTTCTGCATAAATACAGTAAAGCTATTCATACCTGTGTATCATCCACCACACACAAATGGTGGTGTTTCCATGTCCATCAGCGCCGTTTTCCACCAGCAAAAGTGGTGAAGCGGCGGTGGCGTGAAAAGCGGGAGACGCCATGTGCAGCATCTGCGTGAGCAGTCCGCAGGTGTATTCGCAAGCGAAATCCAGCGGACCACATGCGTCCGAGGATGAAGGATCATCCGTCAAAGATCCATCACCCGGTGGCGCAAATTTCATGAATGGTTGTGCACACGGGGGATGGTATCCCCTAGTGCGTCGGTCGCAAAGTCTTGTCGGGTCCGACGTGACGCACACGCAACGTCCCAACAAGAACTTTGCCCGAGAGATTCTGACCGCATAACCTAAAAGGCGGCGCAGCACGCGGGTCGAGGGCATCGACACCAATACCCCATAACGTGTCGAAGGAACAAGCCTCCGCAATCTGTGTGACCCCCGTAGCCAAGAAAACTTAAACTTCGCGCGCGTCAGCAGTTGGGGTGAGTTTTGCATACAACAGCAAATAGACAGCATCCGCAAGTCTGAGCTCCAGTAAAACGTGGTCAAAACCCCGCAGCTTCCGTCCAAGAGAGACTGTGATGGCTTTGGTCCGAGTTAGCCATGATTTTTCATATGCGGGGTCATCGCCGAAAAAATGCGAGCTGATTCCACCATCATGAACTATATTCCGCACACATAGCGGGTACCGTGGACCAAGAACGCATAGGGCGTCCAGTGAGACAAAAAGGACGGCGGTTTCCAAAAGAGGACAACCTCATCTTTGTAATATCCCTGACTACCATCAACAACAGGGGCCTGTCGCGCGGGTGCGCTTACCTTCCCCGAAGAAATATTATCAAGGGAAATGGCACCGGCAACCGGGAGGACAATCTGGGTGCCACCCGAAGGCGGGCCGGATTGTGAGTTACGAGGAGAGGCAGGCAAAAGCGGTGAACCAGCCGCAGAAGCGTGCGAAACCAAGCGGTCGACGCGGGCGTTTTCGCTCAAAACGTCGGCGTAGGCCTGTTCATTGAAAGCGGCCTTCTTCGCGGGCGCTCGACCAACATGGCCAGCGGCCGCGGGAGGCTCGGGACCGCTACTTCGTGACAAAGAACATGATTCTTCCCATTTGGGAAAACCGTTACCTGCGCTCGGCAACGGTGGTGCAGTCAGCACCGTGCGACGTTGATGCTCCGTAGAGGAACGTCGCGAAGGGTCTGGAGGGGACGCGGTGGGCACGAGCGTACTCGAGCCACCGCGGCGGACTTGAGGCTGTCCCGAAGGTCCCTGAGCCCCGACGAGGTTGACTAGACCACTCGGAGCCGCCGAAACGGTGGGAGGCGCGGAAGCCATGCCTCCAGAGGGCATAGGCATCGGGGCGAGCGTCCGTGAGACACCCGACGTCTTATCGTTCCCGCGCCCACACCACAAGGCTGTAGTCGGCACCGACAAGTCACGACGGTCGCCCAAAACAAGTTGTGATGAGGCGCGGGCGATATATATCTGAGACACAAAAGGTTGGAAGTCCAACACATACCTGTGACGGCGATGCGTGCAAAAGGCCATCGCTGTCGTACCACGAAAATGCGAGGTTCCGGAATTTCGCGGGCGCGGGGTTCCAGCGACAGCGGTGGACGCTGGGGCCGCGGCGACACCAGCGGCCCGGAACGGGAACGGGGTGTGTGCGTCTAAGTTGCATCTCCCAGAGCGGTGGCCTTCGCCCGATGTATGGTTACCTGAGCCACCTCATGTTTCACATGCGAACGGTAGAGCATCATGCGGTATGGCCAACGGGAAACACGCCGGAAATACTTCATGCTAGTTTATGGCTGGGGTTAAAAAAAATCCTGTGAATTCGTGAAATTGCCCGCAGTTGAGACCTTTGAATCGCTACAAGTCTGCAGCCGCAGCCATACATCAGCGGCAGCGATATTGCGGCCGCGGCAGTGCAGTGGCAGCAGCAGCAGCAGCAGCAGCAGCAGCAGAAGCAGCAGCGGCGGCGGCGGCAGCAATATCAGCAACGCCGGAACAGTAAAACAAGCAGCGGTGGTGACAGAGGCAAACACGTCAGCTTCGGGAACCAACCTCAGATGGAAAAATATCCGAGAAATTACTTCCTGCCGCCATGGCCAGGCACGCTCTTTGCGCTACCCGTGCTTTGTGCCACTCCACCCTGCAAAATAGAACAGTCAATTGTACTGACAGCGAGTAGCAGACATCACCCGCATCATGAAAGCATGCATGTGCAGGCAGCATCCACGGCCTCCGGTCCAATCTCCTGGCTCTACTCTGGGCAGAGTTTAGTGAGTCTCTGGGCATGGCCAAAACACTAGTTAACTGGTGCGGTGAGACCACCACCATGGGTCATGATGTATGGCCAATAACGCTGAGCAGGTGTCACGGAAACACTCCGTGACAGATTCCTTTCTCGTCCGCGTCCTGCCAATAAAAGAAAACATGAGAGAAGTTGTTAGACGTACACACAGCATCGACAGATTATTGCAAGCAAGAAATTTCCGAGCAGATGGAGCGGGGAGTTTGGGGGTTCAGCAGTTGCTTTGGATTCGATTTGATGGTACCAACTTTGCCGTATACTACAGGATTGAGGGTGGGGGTATGTGTGTGTCTACAACGGATATGGTGATTGTGTGTTGTGGTTTCTCACTTATTTTTCTTTCCTCTTTTTCCTCCTTCCTGTGTGCAATCAAGTCCCTTTTCCCCGGCTACCACGCTACCACGGCTATCACGCCACGACTTCCACGCCAATCCTGGCTATCACGCCACCCGGCTATCACGCCTTCCGGACATCCACGTCCTTACCTAGACTATACCTTTACACCACGACTATCACGTCACCAGGCTTCCACGCCACATCCAGAGATACCATACCCGAGCTATCACGCTCCATCCCAAAGTAGAAGGCTGTCACGCCCATCATGGTTCCTACACTGTACCGTTGGCGGCTACCGCGCCGCTGGCTATTTTGTTTCCCAACCAAGGGACCCCGCGCGCCAAGGCACCGACGCACAAAGCTACTCAACACGCTAGCGTAACGATCAAGAGAGTGGCCGCCGTGTCTAAGCGCGCAACATGCCGGACGGAGACGGACGACAGCCTCCGGGGGGATCAGGTCAGGCTGTCCCTCCCCCCGGGGAAGGCGTCGCGGACGGAGGAGGGAGCGATTCTTTCTTCGTCAACGATGCACGAGACCGAGGGGGTGCGCGAGCGGCAGGAGGGGAAGATCAGCGCGACACGATGCGTGAGCTGGTTGACCTCTTCAAGCAGGCCTTCGCGACATCAACTCATGACCAGGGGCACCGTGCCCACTCAGGCACGTCTAGCAACCAGATCTTAGAACTGAGGCAGAGAGAAAAGATAGATGTACCAGTATGGAGTGATGACTATCTGAAGAACAGATCGATCGAAGTTGCATTGCGAGTGTTCACGAGTGCTTTTGAAGCGTGGCTGGAGAGTGAGGGACTTGCTGGTGTGATGAGGAGTTCAGAGGTCCCTGTTGGTGCAGCTGGTGTGGATTTGAATTGGTTGAGCAGCACGTTCGGAGAGGAGAGAGTGAAGCAATCCAGGAAGATTTGGACGTTTATGCTAGCTAAGATCACAGCACAACCCGTACAAGCCCAAATCTTGGCATCAGAATCACCTCAAGCAGGGTACCGCGTGTTTCTCGAACAATACAGCCAGGACAAGAGTCAGGAGCGACAAACTCTTGACGACGCATGGAACGTAATAGGCCAGAGGCAAGGAGAGAGTCTTATGGACTATTACGGTAGGGCAGTTGCGCTGTGGATGAGACTTCGATCGTATGGTGATAACAGGGATGAAAAGTCGATGTGCAGGCACATAGTACGGGGATTTCTCCCAAGGTTTGAGAAAACTAAAGACCGTCTTCTGTTTGATTCGATGTTGTCGAGGGCTACAATGCAGGAGATGCTGAGGTTGGAAGAGCACGAGCTGAGGTACGAGCGGAGGGCTGCAGAGGGGAAGGAAGAGATGAGGCACGCCTTCGTCGCTGCCGGCGTGGGCCGGGGCGGCGAGGCGGGGAAACCAGCCGCTGCAGGATCGGAGCAAGGCGGACATCGACTCCAGCAACCACAAAGGTCGGTGCAGCCACATCAGCAGCAACCATCGCACTTCTGCCAGCTCCACGGCCCCAACAGCACCCACGAGACCTCCGAATGTCACAAGTTACGCAACGAATTCCTCGCCCACTACAACGAGTTCTGCGCGTACATGAGCGGGAGGCGGGAGGCCCAGGGGTCGGTCTTCCCTCGAGGCGGAGCCCAAGACTCGGGGCGGATGGTTGGTGGCCCATCTCGACAGCAGCCGTACCAAAACGAACAAGGTGCGGGCTGGAGTCGGGGCCACTCTCCAGCGCTGCCGGGACCGCCGCGTGGGCCAGGATCCGGAGCTGGAGGACAGCTGCAGGGGCGCAACTCTGGGGGGCGTGGGTATGGTAGATACGGTCCTTGCCCCCCGGAGAGCCGAGGTCGTCAGATGGGCGGCCGTGGTGGTAATTATCCGCCGCCCAACGTTCCTCCCGCGCAGATTGCCAATGTACTGCGGCACTATTTTCCGGCTCATTTCGCCATCGGAGGCGGAGAACCATCAGGCGGCGACATCACCTCGGGATGGGAGGCCACGTGGGCGCCCGGATCTACACCCAGCTGGACCCCACCACCTCCTGAGGCAGACTACGGGTACGGGCTCGCGGCTCACGGAGTGGACCATGGCGGAGGTCCCTNTGTACTGCGGCACTATTTTCCGGCTCATTTCGCCATCGGAGGCGGAGAACCATCAGGCGGCGACATCACCTCGGGATGGGAGGCCACGT